TATTAAACACTTTCTGCATTAGATAGCTGTTGGCTAATTGTTTTGGTTCTTTTGTTTCGTGTTACTTTATTACAAACGCTAAGACGTGGTCGGACAAATCGTAAGAGTTGGTCATGTTGAGGATGTCATGGCTCAAGGAAAACGTCGTTCTAGACTTAAGATTTATCTTAGAGATGAGAGGTAACATACTTAGTTCTAATTTAATATTTTATTTTATTTTGTGTTATTTTTACTTATATAATTTAACTCATGATCATGTATTAATTATAACAGCGACCTACAATTATCATGTACTCTTTGGGCTGATTATGCAAAAGAAGTTGCTGATTACGTTAAACGTAATTGCACATCCGTCATTGTGGTTATTATAAGACTTGCATGTATCAAAAACTATCGAGGTATATTATTTAATGATTTATATTGATTCAATTTTAGCAACGATTATGAACAATTTTAGGTGAGATAAATTATATGTATTTCTGAAACACCGATTTATTTAAACGTTTTAGGTGAGATCAGCGTCTCAAATGCTTTTAATACAACTCAGAGTTTGTTTGATCCAGTGTGTCCTCTGGTGGCGAAATTCCGATCTGAGTAAGAATCTATTCAATGAAATTACAGTTCGGTTTTATTTCTCATTTATGTTGTATTTATATTTGTACATATGTTAGTTCTACTATAATTAGTTTTTGTATTTTTCCCGTTAAGGTTGCCTCAAGATAATTGTATTCTCATTACTAACGAAGATGATTTGGGTGTAGATTCTAAAGATTCATTAAACAATGAATTTTTGGGAACTAATATTAGGCGGAAGTTAAGTTCTATACATTCGATCGATACGGTATGTGAATATGCGATACTCTATCATTTTTGTTTATAAAAAAAGTTTCTATATCGGTGGTTGTCATTGATTATTTTGAATAAGCAGGTTGGTAAGTATGTGACATAGGCGACCATACGCTCGGTTGCCAATAGTAATTCGTGGTATTACATAGCATGCAAAAAGTGTGAAAAAAGGTTCATCCTATCCCCGAGAGAGAACATGCTCCTTCGACGCCGTCTTGAAAATGCATTAATTGCAATAGCAATGTTTCTGAGTCTCAAGTTGTTGCTAGGTAGTCAAATTTCTATTCTTTGAATTCGGCGTCTACACACCTTTATAATCATTATGCCGTATATTTGTTTATATTTGTAAAACCAATTGTCTAATTATTCTTTTACAGTTTCTTTCTGTTGTTGAATGTGGACGATGGGTTTGGAGGGATGGCAGTCTTTGTCATGTTCGACAAAATTGCTCAAAAATTATTTAAGAGTCGAGGAAGTTTTCGAAGAATCTGTTGAGGTACACCGATAGTTTTATTTGATAAGCATTATGATTATCTAATTCATTTAAATTACTCTCAAAATATTGCGTAGGATAATTCGTCTGGACTGTCTCAATCACTGCGTGATCTAAAAGGAAAAGAGTTCCTTTTTAAGGTTGTGGTAACGGAAGATAATGTCAAAAAGGTTAAAACTTCGTTTTCGGTTGACTGGTTTACATCCGATGACTAAATGATTCAGACGTTCTGTAGTCAGGTCTATTCTGAGGTTTGCTTTCGATTCTTATTTTGTCTGAATATTTAGATATGTAACTATACATAACGGATTGTTTATTTGTTATGATTTTTTTTTTAAAGCCTCCGCTTTTGGAATCCTTTGTTGGTGAAGATAAATGAGCACATATCGAGAAGACTCTGCCTGCCTGTTCTAAAAGTGATTGTGATGATCCTGATGTCATTGTTAATGTAAATGCAGAAGCTTCTATCGAGAAGATTGTACCTGCATCTTCTAAAAGTGATTGTGATGCTCTTGATGTCATTGCTAAACTAAATACAGATGTTTCTATCGAGAAGACAGCTCATGTGACTTCTAAAAGAGATCGTGAGGATCCTGATGTCATTGCTACTCCCGTCAAAACATCTGCATCTAGAAGGAAGAAGAATTCTCTGTCATAGGATGTTTAGCGATAATGAGGTCGCTATTATATTATCTTATACAGTTTTATGATTAGAGTTTTGTTAGAACCTTTTTCTATTCGGAATATTGATGATTTAGATTTTATGCTTACTTAATTTTTTATTTAATTTGAAAGAGTTTAATATTTAGTCATAAATAGTTGTTCTTTCTTTTTTTAAAATGATTTATTTATATTTAGTTTTATGTTTACAACCGTCGCGTGTATCGCATATTCACATACCGTCTGTAGATCGTTTTTTATCCCATTTGTTTTAGTTATGGTTATCATGTTTGGTATTATGTCGATAGTTAATTTGTTATGACGTTTGTCTATGATACCGATAATGCGTTTATTGTAATCTTAGATATGATACTAGGAGTATAATCAATAGACCTTAAAAGCGTTGTTTTGGGATTTTGGTTTATCCTTGAACACATCTACCTAACGTTCTGAAAACTGTCGTGACTCTGAAAATTGATTTTATTGCGGCCCGATTCATACAAATCTAAACTCTGTTCGTTTTTTTTGTTATAAGTATCAAAATTAATAAAATGTACATATATCACGATATAGTTAAATAAATATTGTGATATATATATATATATATTATGATCGTAATATTTGTACGAATAAGTATCCAATATTTGTAGCAAATGAATTATATATTCACTTTTAATGATTCTCGAATATTCTAGAGAAAATTTATTCTGTTGTATTTACGTGTGCGTATATTTATAAAATAAAAAAAATGTCAAATTTCTAATAAAAAAATGGCAAATTTATAATAAAACCCTAGAATTCTCGATTATATATAAATGTAGTGTCATATCGTGGTTTACTCCATTCTGTGCTGCGAACTTTTTCTTTATACCTCTATAATGAACTCATCAGGTACGATGTATACTATATATCCAATTTGATATCGTTTTGTGTTTATTAAGTTCTGCTTTCTTATTTATATTGGTTGGTAACTTATCTATAATTATGTTTTGTATGTGAAAATACACGTAGAAGTGTTAGTCCAAACGTGTTGCCTTTCCATCTTCCTGAATCGGAGATTGTGATGACTGATGAAGGCGAAAATTATGACAAGTTAAAGAAAATTGTTGATGAAGGTGACACTGATCTTTCTGACAAGGGTAAACGTATTATTATACCTTCTTCTTACACTGGTAGTACAAGGTATATAGTGCAACATTATCTAGATGCGATGACTACTTGCCAGCATTTTGGTTTTCCAGATCTTTTCATAACTTTTACGTGTAATCCCAAAAGGTCTGAGATTACCAGGCACCTAAAAAGACATAACTTGAAGTAAGAGGATAGGCCAGATATATGTACGCGAGTGTTCAAGATGAAACTAGATGATCTCATGCACAGACTCACCAAAAAAAATGTGTTAGGTGTCGTAAAAGCCGGTATGTTTTATTAAACTAAGTATCTTATTTTGTTTAGCAAAATATTTTCCATACCACTGCTAGATGATCATGCTAACTAATCTTTCAAAAACTAAAAATTATTCGTTGCAGCGATCTACACGATTGAGTTTCAAAAACGGGAACTACCTCATGCACACATCGTTCTTGTTTTAGAGGCTGGTCACAAGCTACCAACAGGTGATGACATTGATAAGATAATATGTGCTGAAATTCCTGACAAGGATATTGATCCAGCGCGGTATGAGATAGTAGGAGATGTCATGATGCATGGGCCATGTGGTGCTTTGAATAAAGATAGTGTTTGCATGGTTGAAGGAAAATGTACAAAGTATTTTCCAAAACCATTCAGTCCGATCACTAAAATAGATGATGTTGGATATCCCATATGCAGGCGACGTAATGATGAGAAAGTTATCGTTAAAAAGGGTATTGAATGTGATAATGGATTTGTGGTTCTTTATAATAGGAGCCTCACACTGCTTTATAGGGCTCACATCAACGTCGAATGGTGTGTACAGTCTCGATCAGTAAAGTATCTATTCGAATATATTCATAAAGGTGCTGACTACATCCGTGCAACTATCAAGAATGATAATTAAAAAAAATGAGATTAAGAAACACTTCAACTGTAGGTATGTTTTAAACATTTTGTTCACATCTTTTATATCTTTGAAATTCCAATCTTCCATTATTTAATAATGTCTTTCTATATAGGTATGTAGCGCCTTCGGAGTCTACGTGGAGAATTTTTGGTAATCGTACTCACCATCGCACGGTTTCTGTAGTTAAACTACCCTTTCATTTACCGAACCAACAAATGGTCATATACAACGATGATGATCCAGGTGACGAGATATTAATCGTGTCTCAGTTGGTACGTCAAAATTTATTGCTTAGATAGAGTGCAACAAGAAATATGAACTGGCGAGGACATTAACTTATGCGCAACTTCCTACAAGATTTGTATGGAATGGACCAAAGAGGATATGGACGCCACAGTCAAGGAGAATTGCTCTTGGTAAAATTACGTATGTACCCATTGGGGCAGTGAAGCGTATTATTTAAGGCTTGTGCTTAATTTAGTCAAAGGACCACGTAGTTTTGACGATATAAAAACGGTCAATAAAGTTCTACATTCTTCGTTCAAAGACGCTTGCTATGCGTATGGATTATTGAATGATGACAAAGAATATATTGAAGCCATCAATGAGGCGAGATTGTGGATTTCTGCCAATTATATCCGTCGTCTTTTTGTAATCATACTCACTACTCATAGTATATCCATTCCTTCTAGATTTTGGGATGCAACATGGCAGGTATTATCAGATGACATCATATATAATTACAGAAAGACTGCCAGGGATCAAAGTAAGTCGTATAGTTATTATTTACGTTGTTGTTATTATATATCTTTAAGATATTGATAGCTAATTTATCTTTTGTAAATTTTTTGAAATTGTGTAGCTGTTAGTCTATCTCATGAGCAAGTTAAAGACTTTTCTCTGGTCGAAATAGAACTTCTTTTACGTGTAAGTGGGAGATCTTTAAAAGAATTCACACCTATGCCGTTTCTGAAGATATTACTCTGGAGTCACGTGATAATCCTCTTATTCGGGATGAGAGGAATTACAATCTCGAAACTCTTAGAGTTAGAAATGAGCAGATGTTAGGCACTGTAACCAGCGAACAGAGAATTGTTTATGATGAGATCCTATAAGCAGTAAATAAGAACAACGGAGGTATGTTCTTTGTTTATGGTTCTGGAGGTACTGGTAAAACTTATTTGTGGAGTCTATTATGATCTGCTCTATATTCCCAAGGTGATGTTGTTCTTAAGGTTGCATCGAGCAGGATTGCTGCATTGCTATTAGAAGGAGGCCGAACTGCGCATTCAAGATTTGCAATCCCTATCGTGGTTAATAAGTTTACCTTCTGTTCAATCAAGAAGGAGTCGAATCTTGCCGACCTGATAAGGATTGCTAAACTCATTATATGGGATGAGGCGTTGATGATGAGTAAAGACTGTTTCGAGACTCTAGATAGAACGATGCATGATATATTAGAAGTTGATAAGCCCTTTGGTGACAAGGTCATTGTTTTGGGAGGGGATTTCAGGCAAATATTTCCAGTGATTCCAAATGCTGGGAAGACAAAGATACTTATGGCCACTTTGAATTCATCACCTCTGTGGTACAAATGTAGAGTGTTGAGACTTACACAGAACATGCGACTTATAGCTGGAGATAATAGCCGTGCGATGCTTGAACGAGCTGCCTTTACAAAGTGGATCTTAGACATTGGTGATGGAACGATAAATGATGATGGAAGTGGTGAAGCCGTGATTGATATTCCTGATGATCTGTTGATTAAAGACTGTAAAGATCCTATAAAAATGATCGTCAAAGAAATTTATGGGAGTTCGTTTTCGAAAGAGACTGATCCTAAATTTTTTCAAGACCGTGCCATACTGAGTCCAAGAAACGATGATGTAGAGACGATAAATGATTACATGCTTTCAAAGTTGTCGGGTATGTTTATTTTTTTTAGTTCCTCTTAACTTATTTGTTTAAACTTATATAATACAATGACTTTTTTTGTATATAACAGGTGTTGAAAGGACCTATCTTAGTTGTGATAGCATTGATACGGCTGAAGAAGTTGTCAATTACAATGATGCATCTGAAGTACCATCAGAGAGTGTAGCCAGTAAGAATAAATGTGGTTTCAACAATATGATTTATCCCGAGCACTACAAGAAAACAATCATTTTCCAACGGTCCATTGCGACGGTTTTTAAATCATCGCAAATTTATAACGATTTTACGACGATCTAACGTCTAATTTAAAAACCGTCGTATAAAAAAATCGTCGTAAACTCGACGTACAATTTACGACGAATTACGACGATTATACATCGATAACGAGAGATTTGCTAGTAAATGTAAAACCGTCGTAAATTCGTCGCAAAATTACGACGAATATACGACGACTACATTTCGATGTACATATTACGACGATTTTACGTCGAAAAAGGAGTTAGGTGAAAAATATTTAAAACATGTTTACCTAACAATTGTAGATGAAAAACTTTATCGCAAAATCATCGTAAACTCGTCGTAATATTATTGTTGAATGTAAAACCGTCGTAAAAAGTCGTCGTAAAAGCGTTGTAAAGCCCGAAATTTTCCTATAAATAGATCTTCATTCCTTCATTCAATCACAACACATCATCATTCAAACATAAGAGCATCTTCATCTTGGAGACCCATTGTAGGTCTCTTAAATTTTAGTATAGTGTTGTAAATCCTTATATATTGGGTTGTCCATTGCCGGAAACCCGAATTAAGAGTTATATTACTTTGAAAAAAAGAAGTAATAATATTATAAGGTTAATTTACTCTATTCACGTGGCTAGACGTGACACAAGAGACCATCTTCTTTATTGTCTAATCAATAAAAAGAGATAGTATTGTGAGTTTATTTTCAAGATGTCTATATACGAGCTTAGAAGTTGGATGTATATGCGTAAAGATTCAGATGGGGCGTTGACAGAAGAGTTCAAGAACGGGTTAGAAATATTTATGTATCAGGCTACAAATATGGAGAGAACGAAAGATAGTGGGAAGATGTTTTGTCCTTGTTTGAAATGCAAGAATACGAGGTATACACTAACCAAAACCGTGTGGACGCATTTATTAAATAGAGGGTTTATGCCGCAATATTTTGTTTGGTATCTACATGGAGAAGGATATGGCAGTAATACTGGGAATGCTGGTAGTAGTAGTAATTATCAAAGTCATGTTGATATTGATGAATCGAATTATGGTCATCAGCCTAATCAGTATCAATATGACCAAAGTGTAGATCATGATAGGATGCACGAAATGGTGACTGATGCATTTCATGAAACGCATACGGGTAATACTGTTGAGGAACCTAATGTAGATGCCAAACGATTTTATGATTTGTTAGACAATACTAATCAGCCAATCTACGAAGGATGTAGAGAAGGCTTGTCTAAATTATCGTTGGCAGCTAGGATGATGTCAATTAAAACAGATCATAACCTGGCTGAGGTTTGCATGGATGATTGGGCTGATCTTCTGAAGGAGTATCTACCGGAGGATAACTTGGCAGCGGGAACATACTATGAAATTCAGAAGTTGATTTTTAGTCTTGGTCTACCTTCTGAGATGATAGATGTATGTGTTGACAATTGTATGATTTTTTGGAAAGATGATGATCAGCTGGAGGAATGTCGATTTTGCCAAAAACCAAGATACAGGCCGCAAACTGGTGGGCGTAAAAGGATACCGTACCAACGTATGTGGTATCTCCCTATAACTGATAGGTTAAAACGGCTTTATCAATCTGAAAGGACAGCTGCATCAATGAGATGGCATGCGGAACATACAAAAGTAGATGGAGAAGTTGTTCATCCATCAGATGCAAAGGCATGGAAACACTTCAATATGGTATACCCAGATTTTGCTAAGTTCAAACGGAATGTCTATCTTGGTCTGTGCACTGATGGTTTTAGTCCATTTGGTATGTCTGGTAGACAATATTCATTATGGCCAGTAATCCTAACTCCTTATAACCTTCCTCCAGATTTGTGCATGCAAAGGGAATTTCTTTTCCTAAGTATTTTGGTTCCATGTCCAAATCATCCGAAGCGAGCTCTCGATGTATTTCATCAGCCACTCATACATGAGTTGAATCAGTTATGGTATAATGGCGGTCGTACATATGACTGTTCTACGAGGAAAAATTTTACTATGCGGGCTGTGCTAATGTGGACAATAAGCGATTTCCCCGCTTATGGTATGCTATCAGGATGGACTACACATGGGAGGCTATCTTGTCCTTATTCTCTTCATCGAACTGATGCGTTTCAGCTAAAACATGGTAGAAAAACTTGTTGGTTTGATTGTCACCGGAGGTTTTTACCGGATAACCATCTATATCGGAGGAACAAAAGGTTATTTATGAAGAACAAAAGTGTACATGTCCCTCCACCCGTTAATTTAACAGGAGCTGATATACAGGCGCAAATCGATCATTGGAGGGCAGAAGAAACAATAACTCGTGGGGGAAACTGGCACACTCCTGCAAATATGCCTGAAGGTTATGGAGTTCATCATAATTGGCACAAGAAAAATATCTTTTGGCAACTACCTTATTGGAAAGATCATCTGCTCAGACACAATCTTGATGTCATGCACATTGAAAAAAACTTTTTTGATAACATCATGCATACAGTTATGAACGTAGCGGGAAGAACAAAAGACAATGGTAAGTCAAGATTGGACTTGCCTGATTTATGCAACAGAAGTGAGTTGCATCTACTGAGAAACGGGAAAGCACCAGTTCCAGTATTTCGGTTGAGTGCAGATCAAAAGTCAGCATTGTTCATATGGGTTTCTTCTTACGTTAAATTTCCTGATGGGTATGTCTCTAATCTTTCCAAATCTGTTGAGAAGGAGGTAAAGTTTGCTGGGATGAAAAGCCATGACTGCCATGTGTTTATGCAACGATTATTTCCATTTGCATTTGCTGAACTCTTGCCCAAAAACGTCCATGAAGCTATTGGAGGCATTGGTGCTTTCTTTCGGGATCTTAGTACACGAACATTATCAGTTGATGTAATATCACAACTGGCATTGAATATTCCAATCTTGTTGTGCAATTTGGAAAAGATCTTCCCACCATCATTTTTTGATGTTATGGAACATCTTCCTGTTCATCTCCCACACGAAGCAGATCTCGGTGGACCCGTTCAGTACAGGTGGATGTATCCGTTCGAGCGTTTCATGAAGCATCTTAAAGGTAAAGCCAAAAACCTAGCTAAAGTGGAAGGCTCAATTGTGGCGGGAAGCTTGACGCAAGAGACTTCACACTTCACTTCATACTATTTTGCGCCGAAAGTACGAACACGCAAAAGAGCTACTCGTCGATATGATGATGGAGGAGTTGGCCATACATATGCCGTTAAAGGTGTACCTGACATATTCTCGCCGATCGGACGTCTTAGTGGAAAACTAAAAGATGTTTGGTGGTCCAATGAAAAAGATTATCACAGTGCACATACGTATATCCTGTTAAATTGTGAAGAATTGTCATCGTATAAAAGGTACATGTTTAATTAATAATATCTTTATATGAGTTGTCAGTATTAATAACTATTTGTTGTTTTTCTCAGCACATTTGTTGATGAGGTTAAAGAATGCATATCTGGGGTTTCTGAAACTGAATTCAATGATCGTAAAGATCAACACTATGCCCAGTGGTTAAAAGAGCAAGTACGTATAAAATTTTAATTAAAAGACTACTTTAATTTGCTATATATCGAAATCAAGAAATAAAAGCGGAATTTTTTTCTTATTAGGTGGACCCGAATGATCCGGATGAATTTCCAACATGGTTCCATGAGTTACTACTAGGTCCGATGGCAAAAATAACTACAGCCTCAATGTATTTCACTCGGGGCTATGTTTTTCACACATACCGTCACGGTGCAAAGCGGGCGACAACTAACTATGGAGTTTGTGTGAGGGGTGAAATCGATTTTTATGGAGTTGTGCAAGAAATAATTGAAGTAGAGTATCCTGGATTGTTAAGGCTGAAAACTGTTCTCTTCAAATGTGATTGGTTTGATCCAACTGTTGGACGAGGGGTACGTCTAAACAAGTTTGGAGTTGTTGACGTGAACAAATCACGACGGTACAACAGGTTTGAGCCATTTATATTAGCTTCTCAAGCAGAACAGGTAACGTTTCTGCCATACCCTCGAGTTCGATCAACAGAAATTTCATGGTTTGCAGTAGTTAAAGTGGCTCCGAGGGGCAAGATTGTAGGGGTTGAGGATGTTCCACTTCAACAGGACACTTGCGTAGATCTGTCTGAACCAGATGTTGATGAGGAGATTTTCTTAATAAACCCTCAGAACAGGCAAGTTGAAGATCTTCCCGATGATACAGAAGAAGAAGGTGATGATGAGTTTGCTGAAACCGATGATGACGATTTGGCGGAAGACGAGGACGGTGATGGTGATGAAGTAATAGAGGAAGATGAATCTGATTGAGTTTCATGCATTGTATTTAGTGAATGTTTGTTATTATGTAATTTGTAACTTTGTTTGTTTGATTTTACGACGGTTTTACGACAGTTTTTCTAAACCCTAAACCCTAAGTCTAGGTTTTAAGCCCTGAATGAATAGGATTTCAACATTACGACGTCTTTACGACGAACCATCGTAATATCGTCGTAAAGTTACGACGATTTTACGACGCGTACACTATTTCGTTGTAAAATTGTCGTAATGTTGAAATCCAAGAATTTGAATCTTTTATATCTTATTGGTTGTAAGGTATTTCACAAATGTTTTTGATTGGTTATCTTATTTTATATGAAATGCTATCAATCTGATCAAAATCAAAAATTTGAAAAAAAACATATATATTTACAAGTTCATGCTTGTTTTCGTAAATGTTAAGTGAAAGGTTATATATTAGATTACGGAATTTCAATTTTTACTATCTCATGTCATAAATCCATCATACATGCAAAGTTGTAAACCTTTTGTTATATGTTAGGATACAATAACCTTTGCATTGTTCTTTATGCAATATCCCATTTATAAGATTTAGGGTTTACTCACTTTTTTAAAAAACATCGTAAAACCGTCGTAATATAATCGTAAAGGTACGACGGTTTTACGACGATTAAACCCAAAACCATCGTAAAACCGTCGTAACGTTTGCACCGGATAGGCTCTTGATCCTAGGTACGAGGTTATGAATGTTTAGACGTTACGACGATTTTACGACGGTTTTGGGTTTAGTCGTCGTAAACCGTCGTAACGGTCAATGCTCCCATCACGACACGTGTCATGTCATGCAGTGGACCGACTGTTATACAACCGAATCGTCGTAAAACCGTCGTAATGTTACGACGATTTTACGACGATCAGAAAATCTATATAAGGGACGCGAGATTTCTTCCTTCGTCGCTCATTCCTCTCTTCCCTCTCTCTCTCTAGAAATCTCTCTATCTCTCTAGAAATCTACCTCTCCCTTCTCTCCCTACTCTCCAGCCAATTAATTTGTAAGTATTTTTGTTAAATTAATTTCATTACATATTATTTTAGATTTAGGTTCGGAATTTAGATTTAGGTTCGGAATTTAGATTTAGGTTTCGGAATTTAGTTAGGCCCGGATTTTGGTAATTTAAATAAATATTTGAAAAATTAGTAACTAATTTTATAAATATTTTGTAGGTTCTGTCGATATGGCTCCTCGAGCTAAGAGATTTCACTACCGACAGCTCGTCGATTCTGACGGTACGGCCCCGTCTACCTCGGCGACCGGATCAGCCATCCTGGAGTCCTCGGGAACACAACGGACGGTTTCCCAACCGGTCGTTGTTCCGCAGCCGGCACCGCCTCCACCACCACCAGCCGAACCAGCGGCTCCCACACAGGCCGATCCTGAGGCTGATCCGATCCCGCCTGTACCGTATGCCCAGTTTACGGTACAGGATCTTCTGGCGCAACCCGGTCGTGAGACCATGAACAAACTCGACCCGGATCGAGCCCCGGACACCTTTTGGTACATAATTTGTTTCCTACAATATTTATTCTTATAAATTTGATATTAATTTACTTTTTCTCTTTCCATTTGACTAGGTTTACGACCGATAATACAGTCGGTCGTAACGTTGCGGATATCATCAAGGGATTTTTCGTACAACCTCATACCAGCTGGAAGAAGCTGGATCAGGCCACACTTGACACTTGGTTCAAGTGTTTTTCGGTAAGTAATTTACCATTTCTTTTAATTGTAATTTTAAATTTTAACTTTTTACAATAATTACTAACTTCTTTTTTTTTCCTAGCAAAACTGGCATTGGGAAACATCCGCACACGGACGTGTGGAGACGGTCTTCAAGGAGAAGGTCAAATTCCGCCTCAACAACACCGTTTCCGACTGGAAACGGAAGTGGGAGGTTGACGGCGACAAGGCCAAGCCGGCGCCTATGGCCAATACCGTCTGACGGGGCCTTGTCCAGTACTGGTTGGATCCGCACAACCAGACTACGGCCGCCAAGTGTTCCGGATCTAGGTAAGTAGTTAATTTCAATAATATTAACATTATTTTTTTCTTATAATAGATTTTAATGAAAATATTTTTCAGGAACGCTATTGACGATGCGGACGTCCCGCACACTTCCGGCCATATTCCTTTTGCTGGAAGACGGCTTATGATGGTAAGTAAATTTAAATTACTAATTTTTTTGTTTTCAAATAATTAACTCTTATTTCTCGATATTAATTAATTTTTTCATTTTGATTTTGTAAGTCGAAAATAACGGAGGAGAACTTCCTCCGATGACGAAGGTTTTCGCCGAGACGCATAAGAAACGTAACGGCGAATTCACGGATCTTCGGGCGGAGGAGATCTACAACGCCGCCTGTGCGGCGATCGAGGAGCGACAGACGCAGCTGACTCAGCAGGCGCGTCAAATGTCTCCCGGAGGTAGCTCGGTCCAAACGACCCCGGCGTTGACGGTGGCGGAGATGGACCAGATCTTCGAAGAGGTAAATTTAATTACTATATTTAATTAATGTAACTTTAGTTTTAAATTAAATTTCTAACCATAATGTTTTTAAAATATTTGTAGGTTGCCCCAAAGAAAAAGGGGCGGGTATTAGGGATGGGGTCATCCGTGATACCCCGAGAGCTACGGCGACCGGTCACGTTCGGGTCCCGGATCCGGTTATCCGCCAGGAGATCGACCAGATGCGGACCCGGTACGAGACGAGGATCGACCAGCTCTACGGTCTCTTCGAGATCATGGGAGCCAACAACCCGGTACTCATGACACAGTTGGACAAGCTGCGGGCTGATGGAGTTGTCGGATCATCTGCCGCCGGGTCATCCACTAGGACGCAACCGCCGGTGCAGATAGACGAGGAGATGTTCCGATCTCTCGGGGTTGAGCCTCTTAGAGCCGGAGATCAGGCGCCGGCGGAAGCATCAAACCGAAGACCCGGCAAGGAACACGTCCAAGACAATGGGGAGGAGGCCGGTGACGGGATCGACGGGATCGACGATTTAGATTTAGATTTAGATTTAGATCTGTAGGGTTTTTATGTAAATTACAATTAATTTTAATTTCAAATTTTAATAAATTTTAAATTGTAAATTATTTTTTTTAATTTAAATTTTAATTCGAATTTTTTTTTTTAATTTTCAATTATATTAAACGTCGTATAATCGTCGTAATAGCTTTATTAAAACCGTCGTACATTCGTCGTAAATATTACGATGAATTTACGACTAAAATGTACGACGACAAATACGACGATTATACGTCCGTGCTTTACGACGATTTTACGACGAAATGATTAAATACTTTATGATTGATTTACGACGATTTATGCGTCGTACATTCTACGACGATCTTACGTCGACCATTAACGACCACTTAACGACGGTCCAGGCGAAGACCAAGTCGACGCAATTCGATGTAAATTCGTCGTAAACTGTACGACGCATTTACGACGATTTTGTTTCCCTCGATGTTACGACGAAACGAAACCGCCGTATATTATACGACGATTTTGAAATCGTCGGTAGTCCGTCGTAATAGCCCTATTACGACGAAATAACAACCATTTCGGCCGTTGTAAAATGATGTTTTTCTTGTAGTGGAGGAGTTTTTAAATAGTATCAAGATGTCTGCTTTCCCTAATCATGTCATGAAGTTGAGAGAGGGTACTCCTGTAATGCTTCTAAGAAATATTGACTCTAAGAATGGGTTGTGTAATGGTACAATACTCATCATTACTAAGATGGCTAATTATGTTCTCCAGGCTCAGATAATACCAGATAGCAAGGTTGGTGAGAAAGTACTCATTCCTAGGATATTCCTCTCTCCTTCGGAGATGAAACTTCCTTTCAGGATGAGACGCAAGCAGTTTCCTATCACATTAGCTTTTGCAATGATTATAAACAAAAGCCAAGGACAAACACTCGAAAAGGTTGGTTTGTATCTTCCAAGGCCGGTATTTACTCATGGGCAACTCTATGTCGCTGTGTCAAGGGTTACATCCAGAGAAGGTTTAAAGATATTGATCACCGATAAAGACAACAAACCACAAAGCAAAACATTGAATGTCGTCTACAAGGAGGTTTTTGACAAGATATGATAGTTCTTTTTACTATGTTTTGCTTTGTGGTTTGTTGTCTCTATGGATCTCGAAATATGTTAGTTCTTTTTACTATATTATAATTACGTTCGGTTTTATAGGTTTTACTAATAGATTTGATGTTTTTCGATTTTTCACTAAGTTGGATCTGATGTAATTCGTTTTCAAAATTTCTCTAAATTAGACCTGAAATAATTCATATATCATGTATTAAGTTTAGATTATCTATTATCGTAAATGGGTTTGTAAAGCCCATATATTACATTATGTTTTAGGTTTACACCAAAAGAATATTACTAATGGATATGGGTATCGACTATTATTTTTATTGAACCCAAATATTGTATATAAATTGGAAGTTGTATAGATACTCGGTTTTATTAATCTGATTCGTTTTTTTCATATATATATATTACTCCACCATGTACAATTAAGCAGCTTTCTTAATGTTTTATTTTATTAATGGTTTGATCTCTAACGTTTAACTATAGTCGGATATTCCAATGACAAACTCAATTCGATAATATATTTTAACGAAACTTTAATTATAGCATATTATTGGACATCTATTGACATTTCATGTGATGAACATTGTCACGTAGTTATAAATATTGAGAATGCTCCAAAACCAAATTATCAATGTCATCGAAATAAACTTAATAGTTTTTGTAAAATTAAACCAAGTACATACTGTCTATAAAGTGATCATTGCAAACAGGAAAAAAAAAACATGAAAATTGATATGGTTCTTGATTAAACTCCAGACCTCCTCTTTTTACTTTCCTTCTCCTCTCCCTTCAAGCACGTTCACAAACAATCCAATTTAAATTTTTGTAAAATTATATAACTTTAAACTAACTCTATATTATATTTAAATATGAATTATTTCTAAAACATAGAGTTCAATGGGCAATCAATAACAAAATATAATGACTCAATAACATAGATTTTAGACAATTTTTCATTATTAATCTAAATATATTTCTGATTACGTACCCATTCGGCGGTATCTATGTGTCGAATTTCTGTCTCCACAAAACCGCAACGCATGCACTTCAACCCTATCTCCAGATCTAGAATCAGATCGTGTTTTCATTTTTTGCAACTTTCTTGGGATGTCTCATTAGATGGGTTGCCTTTGTCATCCTCCATAAATAGAATATACAGATTTTACAATTCATTGTGTAAGACATGATTAAAATAAACTTTAGTGAAGAGGATATATTATCTGAGGAGTATTCTGTTTGGCTTTCTGATTTGATGCGATGAGTAAGTGTAATTGTTCCCATAATTCTTCTTGCTCGATCTCGGAATCTGTTGGTGAAGGTGGTGACTTATGTTCCACGACACCGAATCTCATTACCAATGGTGGGGGATTGATGATCAACGAGCCATTTTCATCGAATTTTTTTTTATTTGTGTTCGCCATGTTCTTATGAATGCTCTCACAAACGATAAGGCTACTTATAAAATATTTTAAAGTTTTTTGAAAAAATACCTCAAGTGAGTATTTATAAGGTGTGCAATAATAATCAATTTTCTCATTTTTCAATTTTTTTTATGGGGAAGATTATGCGACTTTATGTTTGCACCTAACCGTTTGACTTTCCAGATTTCCTGTTTCATATAATTTTAAGGAAAATTTCCCAAGTAGATACATAAAGTTATAACATATGTCTACATAAATGTCATTTTTGTTATGATGTTGTATGAATATATCATTTCCTAAAATATTGAAACATAAAATTGTCCAAATAACATAAGCTATAGAGAGAAATCATATTATTTTATGGAAAGTGTTGTAATTTAACAAAGTTGTATATTTAGTTAAATAGTATATTTACTTATTGAGGTTGCGTGTATCTTTGGTGAAACTTAAAACATGGAATATATTCTCTCTGACACGTGAAACGAACAAATTGATCAATATCGATATGGAAATGTATTGACATAAATTAGTGGGATTGTTGTTGGTTTTGACAATAAGGGGCTTTAAATGGTAACTGTTCAAAAAAATTTTTTTAATAATTCAAACGAAAATAAATTTATAAGAAAGAATAACTGCCTATTCAACTGCATTGTCTGTCCTTTTCATCTTTAACACACTTTCTCATACTTCGTCACTTTTAGTTTTCCTCTTTATAAATCTCATTCAGAGTTCTCGATCAAAAAAAAAGAAAAAAAAAAGGTTTCTAAAATGTCCGATGTTGTCGATGTTGCATGTTTGGATTCTTACAAAAAAGGGTGGTTAATATCTGTCAAGGTGGTCAGGCTCTGGAAACATTCAACATTCTTCGGAAATACTATCGAGATGGTTCTATCTGATATCAAAGTATATGTCTTTTTTTGAAGTTTTTCTTTTATGTTTTCTATTTATTATTCACTGATTATTTTTGGCTGTGTTATTTTTCTAGGGTACTCGGATCGCTGCAACCATTATGCCAAACGAGTTTCCCACTCGCTAGAAAGAAATCAAACAGGGACACTAGATTCGGATTTTCAACTTTAATGTTAAAGAAGCAACTGGATCAATGCTTACAACGATCAAAAAACATCGTTTGCAGTTATCTTTTGTCACTATTATCACTCCTATTCGAACGAGGTTGTACAATTTGTATCTCCACTGCTTCCGATTTTATGATATTGTAGATCGAGCCATTCCTTTTGACTATCTGATTGGTAAGAATTTCATATTTAACTTTTATAAGAATTAATCAAATTTATCGGTTTGCATGATAATTTCTAAACATATATGTTAAGTTTTATAATAGATTTAAATTCAATTTATTATTTTGTTTATTATCAGACGTTATGGAAACTATTGTGAATATGTGTCCACTCTGCAATGCAAGTAATGATGCTTATGAAAAGAATCTCGCTTATCTCCGATTTGAGATAGTAGATGCACGGTATTACGAATCATGTCCATTGTTTTATATGTAAAGGACTGTTAACATATAAAGTCTTTACCAAATATTTCATTTTTGTATTATTTTTCCTTGTGGCAGAAGAGAAGGCCGGTTAACATGTTACGCCCGTGGTTTTCTAGCAATAAATGTCCATGATGTATATATATCAGAGAAACACATGTGAATCGGTTGTCTGGGTGTTAAGGTTCTGGAAGATGACAAATGGCCAAGGTATATATACATTTTCTCATATATGTCTTAAAATCTGAATGTTGAATAAAAATTTTGTCTATTATTGTTTAGGTATCGATAAAAAGTCTGTGGTTCTCCGATCTAATCATCTATGCTCAGATTTTTTGTACAATCATGTCGATGCAGAAGTTGATGCATTTAGAGTGACGTGAGTATTTAAAATTTTGGATTCTATATATTGTGGTTTAAATGTTTATTAAAACGTTTCGAGAGCATCGACTGTTTGACGTTATTTGTAGACCTCCTCTATTATGTCTCTCTCACTGTTTCTTCTTTGTATTCTCAAACTCATTACTTAATAATTTTATGCCAACTTTTAAAACTAAGATCAGTGATTTTTATTTAATACTTTCTTATTGTTTATATATTAATTTTGTGTTTTATTATCAAACTATATTTTATGTACTATATGTGTTTTATATTAGCTCATATTGTTAGGTTGGATGTCAGACTATGTCATTTTTATAAGATTTTTGTGGCTTCTGTTATGGAAAATATTTTGATTATTTTTGGTATAGTCAGAGTAATTGCCTAAAGTAAACATACTAGAAATCAGGATAATTGCCTAATGTAAACATTTTAGGAAACATATATATACGACTATTTGTCACAGGAAAATTTACTGACTGTCGTCATAAATTTTCAATAGACTTCTAACTATAATTGTCTTTTCCAAGAGCTCATAAAAAACTTTAATGTTCGTGATAGTAAAGATATTCTACGATATGGACCTAATCGTATTTAGTCTTTATGGTTGTTCACAAAAATCAAAATCAGTAATATTTTTGTAGAAATTTAGATTCGTTTAATGTTTAGATGTTTATTTGCTTATATATCTGGTATACCTATATCAATAATATTAAGTCATGATTGATTAATGGGTCCACTATATCTATATTTTTAGATACCTTAATAACCAATTTATATTCAGATATCGAAATAATAATAAAAAAAACTAATACAATCATGAATTCTTTTATTTAACAATGATTTATCGGTATGAAAACATATATATACACATATGTTTTATCTTCGAATTAAAACAAATTTTTAAATTATATAGAAAGAAGATATACATATATAGATTGTGTTTTGTTATATTTTTAAAAAATTATAAAGTTATAGATAATTTGTTTTTAGTGGTTGCGATCATATTGTATTTATATTTAATATATATGTATATATATATATAACGGATAATGAAAATCGTTTTAAAAGACTCGGTTCAAGTAAATGGTTTCTTATGAATCGTCATCATTACGCATAATCATATTTTTAAAAACGTTACGTATATATATATATATAGATGATCTGATAAAGACTCGATGCAACAGAACATAACTACTTTCTGATATTTTATTCTCTCTAAACTTCTGACAAACATGAGTAGTTATAATTTGGTTCATGAGATGAATGGATGGAGAGATGACTGGAGGATTGTGGTTAAAGTTTTGAAAAAGTGGAGCATGGTCTTGGCTTTGGCTTCATTATGACCGACGAGAACGTTAGTTTTATTATAAACTAAACTTTGTAGTATTAAGTCTCTGGTTCTGTATATTTCTTTATTGGTTCTATAATTTTTATATTTTTTCTTATATTGTAGGGATGCCGAATTCAGGAAATTGTTCAAAATCAGATGTTCGAGTATTTCGAACGAGTTTGCCATGAAGGTCACTGGATTATGTTATCTCGGTTTAGTCTCAACCGATTGTTCAGGAATGATTGCGATAAGATAACTAGACACGGTTTTATGATTACTTGACTGACGACACAAAGGTTTCATGTATAATACCAATATCTAATAAGGCATTCGTCAGTTTCGTACAATTTTCACAAATTATCAATAATCCTTCCGCTCATGAATATCTTATTGGTTAGTATAACTATATATTGTTTTTTTGTTTTTTTTATTTTTAAAAAATTTGCTGTAGTGTTACTGATATGTGTGTTTATTCAGATTTAATTGTACTTGACATTGTAAGAGATCTCATACCAGTTGTGCAGACATATGGAAAAATTGTCCTGACAATGAGTAAGCGCATTCTTTTAATTTTTTTACTATCTATGGCTATGATAATTTAGTTTTACAATAACTCTATTATGTAATTTGAAGGGATAATACATTGGAATGTATCGTACATGACTCATTAGCATCTGACATAAAGAAACAATGCATAGGATATGATGGTCCATTTGACGTTTGCGTTTTAACCGATTGGTGTGTTACGAGAACTGGAGGTATACCCTTCAATTTGATATAACTCTAAATAATTTGAATTTATAGGTAGCATCATGCGTATTGATTCTTTTTTACTATAAGAATTGACTATCCAAAATCACAAAGAAGAAGGTCTTTCGCGTTTCATAACTGCTCCTGCAATGGATGAAGTTTCTGAATTTCGGGCAAAGTAAGATAATTATTGTGACATTAACCCTACTCTCTTAATACAGTTTTTTCTGTGGTACTATATAGTTTACATATATTCTTAAATATTAATTTTATGATTTGGGTGAAGATACGGAACGAAGTGCATGGAAACAGTTCTCTTTTTTAGATATATATTAGCTATAATTTATATTTTTATTATTATCTTTGTTATCGTTTTTTTTTTGGTTGTTGATTTTATCATGTTCTACTAAACACTATGTTTTATAAATAATATGATTTTATAGCATCTACGAAAGAAAAAAATAAAAATATAGAAACAGTTGTTATGCTTGTATAGTTATGCTTGTATTTTGGTGAGAAATTTCTAGGCTATACCCAATAGATGCATTATGATTGGTTATGATATAGGAGTATGGTTTCTGAGAATTTTGAGTTCCCTATGATTTCAGTTAAAGGCTTCTTCTAAGCTTAGATCTTGCTTTGTTTGAGGACAAACAAAGGTTTAAGTCTGAGAGAGTTGATAACACCTTATTTTGACCACTTTTGTGGATCGATTTTAAATGCTTTTCAAATGATTTTTATTTCTTTTAAGTTTTTTTACTGTTATTTTCTAGTATTTGTAGTTCCAAGACTCTTTTCAGGTAATTAAGGCAAAATGTGTGCATTTTGAAGCAAAAGACCATTTTGGATAAATTCGGACCATCAGAAGTTTCACATCCTATGAAGACTTTTCCACCGTCAGATCATCCCCAAAATCGGACATAATATAGAAGAGAAAACTAGCTTTCAAATGCAATTGGTTTGAAGACAATCCAATGGTTAGATCTCTAGATATCCTTGATGCACTAAATGCACGTTCTGCAGTCTCGCGAAGGAAGCAAGCGCACAATGAAGATTCAACCTCAAGGACCAATCCCCGCGGGTCCAGGAGTGATGTGGACATCGATCCTACCGACCCATCAAGCATCGAGAGACACATGCCGGAGGTCCAAGACGGGGCCATGACTCGGTCTAAGATCAAACCGATGAGGAATAGATACAAGAAGGCACTACACGTCTTCATAAACTCACTAGACCCAAACGACCCCCTGTTACCAGACCTACAAGTCGTACACGGCTTAAACGACCTATGCGGCCAAATCGGGCCCGAGAACATGACTCAAGGAGAAGACACACCAGACCATCGATTCTCACACGGCCAATGTGACATCTCTCGACCAACTTTTGATTTAAAAGCTAACAGTCCGAGCAGAATTTCGTTTACAGGCTTAAAAATTGAAGAATTCAGAGATAGCCCAAAAATAGCCGATGCGCGAGAACTTTTGGCTGATGCGCGAGAACTTTTAGCCGAGAAAATAAAGCTTCAACGGCTAGACCACCATGACGACAAAATCGACCGTACTGGAGCTGACATTCCTCGACCAAAATCATCCCCTGAAACCAACGCACGAGACAGAATTGAATTCGAACGAGCCGAACAAGAGATTGACGATGCCACACTCGTTTTAGCCGAGAAATGCCATGCAACACAGGCCGAGCCACCAGACGACCTAGAACTGACCAACAAAGGTAATTTCTCTCGACCAAGTGCATATTATAAGACTAATGCACGTGGAATTCTAGCAGGCGAACGAACAGAATTGGAGTTGCTTCATAACATACCAAGTGGACGCGATAACGAGCTAACCGAGGCCGAGCGACTAGCCATACAAGAAACAACGGTCATGGAGCTTAAGGAACATGAAGATCAAGATTCTCCGGGACTAGAAGACGCCTCAAGCGACCCAAGCCACGGCAGGCCAAGGCTGGACACTTCAACAAACAACAAGGCCACACACGACACCAAACGAGCCGCGCCACCCCAAGGTAAGTGTTTCAATTATTTTATTGTGCTTGCAGGAGGAACCTACATCGCCAGCGACTAAGTGTCAGAGTTAAACGACTCAAGTCGTGTAGTTTAAGTCTTTTATTTCAAACTTTCCATTTCTGTAATAAATGAAACGATGAGCTTTGTCTCTTAGACTAGGTTTTGTTTCTTTGAGTTTTATTTACTTAGTCCTGTCGTTTTGAGTCCAGAGTCGAACCCTAGAAGGTTCAAGCTGAAGAACCAGTTTATAAGGTTCCTTTGCAGCATTGTAGTCGGCAGACTTTTTCCCCATATCAATAAAATATCGAACTTTCTTCAAAGTTTACCCGAGAAGTGATTTCTCTTTGTTCTTAGTTTGTTTGTGCGATTCAAGCAAGCTTTGAGCCTTCACCGTATCAGAGACTCATCATCCCTCTGTGTAGTGAACTCACGCCGCCATCACATCCCGTTTAGATCCCACACGAGAGGGCGACCCCCTGCGTGTCAGATCATTCCATCTTCGATCATCAACCGAGCTAAGGAGAGGGCGACCGCCTGTCTTAGTTCCCACCGGTTCTTACATTATTTTGGTATCAGAGCCGAAATTCCTGCTTCGGTTTTTCTTACCCTTATCCTTCATTATTTTCTCTTTCGCTTTCACTAGGTTGTTTAGGTCCGTTGAACTTTGATTAGAAAAAAAAATATATATATATAGTTAGGGTTTGTTAGTTAAGCGTTATTTGCTTCCGATTATTAAGTACTCAAAAAAAAAAAAAGGTTATAGTCAACATAGTTTTAATTTCATATCCTTGCATACCCGCTTTCATTAAGAACTAGAAAAAGAACAAAAGAATTTTACTAGAGTCTCATTTCCTTAACGTTATCTACTCACCTCACACTTAATACTTTGACAAGTTATTGTTTTTGGTGAGTTTACAAGGCACTGTGTTTGTAAAACCATGGGAGACAACGGTGAGAATACCAACAACGCCGCACCAGCTCAGGCAAACGGTCAGCAACACCATGAGCTCATGGCAATGCTTGCCACCATGAGAGAGGAGCTGCGAGACACTCGTGAACAAGTCGCGCGTCTCGAACAACGGCAACCGAGGGCTCCCAACGCAGAACTTCCACCAGCTCGGAGGAACATGCGAGCCCACCGAGACCATCGCCCTGAGGACTCGGAGACGGATAGCATGCCGGAACTAGAGGAGGATCAACCTCCTGATCCATTACACCGGCGTCACTAGAGGAGACAAGACCCTTTGCTCAGAAACAGGCCAAGAGAGCAAGAGCGTAGGGAAGTTAACAATGACGTGAAACTAACTCCTCCCACTTTTGCAGGCAAATCAAACCCTGAGGTCTATTTAGACTGGGAGAGGCGCTTGGAGTATATCATCGAGTGTTACGGCTATGGAGAGCTCAAGAAGGTCGCGTTAGCTGCGGCTCAACTCACCGACAATGCATTGGCATGGTGGGATCGCACCGTGGCCGAGAGGAGGCGACAAGTCTTTGGCCCAATTCAAATGTGGCACGACATGAAATACCTACGGCGGTTGAGGTATGTGCCCGAACATTATCATAGGGACTTACAGAAACGTTTTCGTAAGTTGACACAGGGAGCAAGGAGCGTTGAGGAGTATTTCGAAGAGTTCGAAAAACTCATGAACTCCTTGGAGTTAGAAGAGTCCGAGGAGGCTCTCATGGCCCAGTTCGTCGATGGTCTTCGAGAAAAAATAGCTCGGAAGGTGGAGCGAGTTAAGTATAGTGGCCTGCATGAGCTATTTCATCTCTCGGTGCAAGTGGAGCAACAAATCAAGAGAAAGTCATCTCTCTCAAACCGAGGCCGAAACAATCAGCCTTGGCAAGCCAGCACCAGCAAACCCCTCGACAAAGGCAAAGCTATAGAGATCAAATCTCGATTCAAGGGAAAATCCACCGAGCCTCCAAAGCCCAACAAGCCGGAACAAGGTAAGTTCCAAAACACTAGTCAAGCTAGAACCCGAGACATTGTTTGTTTCAAATGTCAGGACAGAGGACACTATCAGCGAGACTGTCCCAACCAACGGGTCATGATCGTTACCCCAAGTGGTTATGAGTCCCAAGATGAAGCCGAGATAGAGGTAAACAGTGAGGAGGAAGATGTGGAGTACCCCGACACTGGAGAATATCTACTGGTGACTCGGAGGGTTCTAAGCGTTCAAGTGCAACCTGAGGAGACAGTCCAACGAGAAAACTTGTTCCACACGCGATGTACAATCAAGAACAAGGTATGTAATCTAGTTATTGACGGTGGATCTTGTACTAACGTGGCTAGCAAGTTCATGGTGGACAGATTAGGTCTTGAAAAGACAAAGCACCCACGGCCCTACAAGCTACAATGGCTTAATGATGCCACAGAGCTCAAGGTAACCGAGCAAGTCACCGTACCGTTCAGCATTGGTAAATACCGAGATGAAGTGCTATGTGATGTGGTGCCTATGCAAGCCGGACATTTGTTACTAGGCCGGCCTTGGCAGTTTGACAAAGCTACCCTACACAATGGCCGAACTAACTACTATAGCTTCACACACATGGACCGTAAGTTTAACTTAGCACCCTTAAGTCCATCTTAAGTTCACGAGCTTCAAAGTAAGATGGCTCAAGAGTCTAAGTCCTCTAAGTCTAGCTTATATATTACATATGGAGGATTAAACCGTGCTTTAAGTGCCAATGGCACTATGTTACTAATGCTTTATAAAGAATGTCTAAGCGCAGAATCAACAGATATGGAGATTCCACCACAGGTCAGCGCCCTATTAGACAGGTACAAAGACATGTTCCCTGAAGAGATCCCCCCTGGTCTCCCACCTCTGCGAGGCATAGAGCATCAAATCGATCTTGTTCCCGGATCGGCGCTTCCCAACAAGGCCGCATATCGCATGAACCCGCAAGAAACGAAGGAATTGGAGAGACAAGTGCAAGAACTCATGGACAAAGGGTACATCAGGGAGTCACTTAGCCCCTGTGCTGTCCCTGTTCTACTGGTCCCCAAGAAAGATGGCAGCTGGAGGATGTGTGTTGATTGTCGGGCTATCAACAACATAACCATCAAGTATCGCCATCCGATCCCACGATTAGACGACCTGCTTGACGAGTTGGGTGGAGCCACTATCTTCTCCAAGATAGATTTAAAAAGTGGATATCACCAAGTGAGGATGAAAGAAGGAGATGAGTGGAAGACGGCCTTCAAAACCAAGCAAGGCCTATACGAATGGTTGGTGATGCCATTCGGCCTCACAAACACACCGAGCACCTTTATGAGGCTCATGAACCAGGTTCTACGGTCTTATATTAGTAAATTTGTTGTTGTCTACTTTGACGATATACTCATTTACAGTAAAGGACCATCCGACCATCTAAACCATCTTGAACTCGTTTTGAAAACGCTTCGGAAGGAAGGTTTTTATGCCAACCTGAAGAAGTGCGTCTTTTGTACTGATAAACTTGTTTTCTTAGGCTTTGTAGTAAGCAGGGAAGGGCTACAAGTCGATGAGGAAAAGATCAGAGCCATACAAGAATGGCCTACGCCTACAACCATCGGGCACGTGCGAAGCTTTCACGGCTTAGCTAGCCTCTACCGACGGTTTGTGCGAGACTTCAGCACGATAGCAGCGCCTCTAACAGCCGTTATCAAGAAGAATGTTCCTTTTGCTTGGGGAGCAGCTCAAGAAGAGGCTTTCAATACCCTCAAGGAAAGACTTACGCGAGCTCCGGTCTTAGCATTGCCCGACTTTGACGAAATGTTCGAAGTGGAGTGCGACGCTTCAGGACTGGGCATAGGAGCTGTCTTGCATCAAAGGAAGAGGCCCGTGGCGTTTTTCAGTGAGAAGCTCAGTGGGGCTACTCTCAACTATCCCACGTATGATAAAGAGCTTTATGCTCTTGTACGGGCCCTCGAGACTTGGCAGCATTATTTATTGTCTAAAGAGTTCATAATACACACCGATCATGAGACTTTGAAGCACTTAAGAGGGCAGACATCCTTGAAGAGGAGGCACGCCAAATGGTTGGAGTTCATTGAGACGTTTCCATACGTCATCAAATATAAGAAGGGCAAGGAAAATGTGGTGTCCGATGCACTTTCACGGAGGCATGCATTGATCTCCACAATGGAGGCCAAGGTCTTTGGGTTTGAGCACATCAAGACTCAATACCAAGACGACCCTGAGCTTAAAGAATACTATCAAGAGTGCCTTAAGGGACCCTACTGTTCGTTTTACTTACACGATAGATTCCTTTTTAGAGATAAACGTTTGTGTATTCCGCAGGGATCCATGAGAGATATGGTGCTCAGTGAAGCACATGGAGGAGGACTAATGGGGCACTTTGGAGTGGACAAGACTCTAGCCGTAATGATGGACCATTTCTATTGGCCGCACTTAAAGAAAGATGTAGAGCGGTTCTGCGCCAAGTGTGTGCAATGTCACAAGGCCAAATCCAGGTTACATCCTCACGGTCTTTATATGCCATTACCTATGCCCAACGTCCCTTGGGTAGACATTTCCATGGACTTTGTCTTAGGGTTGCCCAAGATACGACACAAGGACTCCATCTTTGTAGTTGTTGATCGTTTTTCAAAGATACTTCATACCATGTGAGAAGACCAATGATGCGACCCAAATCGCTAATATGTTCTTCAAAGAGGTAGTACGCCTACACGGGATTCCAAGAACCATCATCTCTGATCGTGACACCAAGTTTCTAAGTTATTTCTGGAGAACCTTGTGGAGGAAGCTAGGTACAAAGCTCCTTTTCTCAACTACTTGTCATCCTCAAACGGATGGACAAACTGAAGTGGTAAACCGTACTCTTTCCACTTTACTTAGAGCAGCCCTTGGGCGTAACATGAAAACTTGGCTCGATTGTATACCATTTGTAGAATTCGCTTATAACCGCACGAGGCACTCAGCAACTAATCTGTCACCTTTCGAGGTTGTTTATGGTACTAACCCCTTGTCTCCAGTGGATTTAAGGCCTATACCACAGGTAGAGCAGACCAATCTAGACGGCCTACGGAGAGGCGAGTTGTTCAAAAGGCTATATGAGATGGCCCGCGACAACATTGAAAAAAAGACCGATGGTTACAAGAAGGCCGCGGAAAAAGGTCGCAAAGAAGTCACCTTTGAACCAGGAGATTGGGTGTGGCTGCACATGAGGCCCGAAAGATTCCCTAATCAACGCGCCTCCAAGCTTGCACCAAGAGGAGATGGACCGTTCAAAGTCTTGAGCAAAATCAATGACAACGCCTACTGTCTTGATTTACCAGGTGAATTTAACATTTCTCACACTTTCAACGTTGCTGATCTGTCTTATTTTGACGCAGGAGAAGAAGTTTTGGGGTCAAAACCTTTTGAAGAGGGAGGGAATGATGTGGACATCGATCCTACCGACCCATCAAGCATCGAGAGACACATGCCGGAGGTCCAAGACGGGGCCATGACTCGGTCTAAGATCAAACAGATGAGGAATAGATACAAGAAGGCACTACACGTCTTCATAAACTCACTAGACCCAAACGACCCCCTGTTACCAGACCTACAAGTCGTACACGGCTTAAACGACCTATGCGGCCAAATCGGGCCCGAGAACATGACTCAAGGAGAAGACAGACCAGACCATCGATTCTCACACGGCCAATGTGACATCTCTCGACCAACTTTTGATTTAAAAGCTAACAGTCCGAGCAGAATTTCGTTTACAGGCTTAAAACTTGAAGAATTCGGAGATAGCCCAAAAATAGCCGATGCGCGAGAACTTTTGGCCGATGCGCGAGAACTTTTAGCCGAGAAAATAAAGCTTCAACGGCTAGACCACCATGACGAAAAAATCGACCGTACTGGAGCTGACATTCCTCGACCAAAATCATCCCCTGAAACCAACGCACGAGACAGAATTGAATTCGAACGAGCCGAACAAGAGATTGACGATGCCACACTCGTTTTAGCCGAGAAATGTCATGCAACACAGGCCGAGCCACCAGACGACCTAGAACTTACCAACAAAGGTAATTTCTCTCGAAAAACTGCATATTATAAGACTAATGCACGTGGAATTCTAGCAGGAGAACGAACAGAAGTGGAGTTGCTTCATAACATACCAAGTGGACGCGATAACGAGCTAACCGAGGCCGAGCGACTAGCCATACAAGAAACAACGGTCATGGAGCTTAAGGAACATGAAGATCAAGATTCTCCGGGACTAGAAGACGCCTCAAGCGACCCAAGCCACGACAGGCCAAGGCTGGATACTTCAACAAACACCGAGGCCACACACGACACCAAACGAGCCGCGCCACCCCAAGGTAAGTGTTTCAATTATTTTATTGTGCTTGCAGGAGGAACCTACATCGCCAGCGACTAAGTGTCAGAGTTAAACGACTCAAGTCGTGTAGTTTAAGTCTTTTATTTCAAACTTTCCATTTCTGTAATAAATGAAACGATGAGCTTTGTCTCTTAGACTAGGTTTTGTTTCTTTGAGTTTTATTTACTTAGTCCTGTCGTTTTGAGTCCAGAGTCGAACCCTAGAAGGTTCAAGCTGACGAACCAGTTTATAAGGTTCATTTGCATCATTGTAGTCGGCAGACTTTTTCCCCATATCAATAAAATATCGAACTTTCTTCAAAGTTTACCCGAGAAGTGATTTCTCTTTGTTCTTAGTTTGTTTGTGCGATTCAAGCAAGCTTTGAGCCTTAACCGTATCAGAGACTCATCATCCCTCTGTGTAGTGAACTCACGCCGCCATCACATCCCGTTTAGATCCCACACGAGAGGGCGACCGCCTGCGTGTCAGATCATTCCATCTTCGATCATCAACCAAGCTAAGGAGAGGGCGACCGCCTGTCTTAGTTCCCACCGGTTCTTACATCAAGGAGCCACGACCACGGGGAACACACTCTCGACCGCGGTTACGACTCTCTGGCCGCAGCCAAACCCCAATTCACCGCGGTCAGAAGCCTCGCGACCATTGCCGACTAAAAAGCTGGCCCATGACTCTGTTTCAAGCCCAATTCGTCTTCTCTTCATAGAAAACCCTAAGGACGACTGGAGAAAGTTGGAGACCTATAAATATGTATATTTGGAGACCTATTTTCGTGTGCCTCAGAAGAATCGCTTTTGGGAGCCACCAAATTTAGTTTTCTAGGGTTTTTATGTTCTTAGTTCTTAGTTTAGGGAGATAGAGATTTCTCTTGAACCCTCTTTATGTTCTACCTTTATCTTAATTCGGTTTTTACTCTTATGCATCTTTCAATTTCGTTTTTATCTTCTTCATATTAGATTAGTTGTTTAAAGGATTTGAAGAGAAGTTCTTCTCCGAGCCCAGCTCTTAAAATCGAGATGCTTCTTCTTCTTCTCCTTGTCTGTTTTTCTCTACTTCTTTCTTCTTATTAATCTATGCACGTCTTTTCTATTTACTTTATGCACGTTTTGGAATGATGAGGTATGAGTTTAAAGGCTCGGTCGAAGGGAATCGACTATGTTCGAAAAAGATCTTTGCTAGATAAACCAAAGCCGAATTCTAGAAATCTTTCTTCTAAACTTATACTTAAAGCATGGATCTAGCGTCGCGAACTAGA